ACACACACACACACACACACACACACACACACACACACACACACACAAACACACACACACACACCTGCACACACATGATGTTCACACACATATATCCGTACACACATTTAAAAAATAAAAACTTAATTTCTTAAATCCCCAGCCTTTTCAGAGAGGACACTGACCAGCATCAACAGAGGGTGGAAAGTAAAGGGGGAGCAAAGCCGGTGAGCTCAGCCTCTCTGTCCAGCCCCAGCTTCTACCCTCTACTTTCTTGATGCTGCTTCTCCTAGCTGCTCTCCCAGAAGACAAAGAAAGAATCCCAAGCTGACACCATGTGCCTCTGCCCTGAATTTTCAAGACCTTCTCTGTAATGGGGGTTGGCATTTCCCCTGCCCCTCTCCACTTGATGCTTCTTACTGAATTTCTCTAGCTTTGGAGATTAAGTCTTTCCTCTTTATCCTTTACCTCAAAATCTCACAGGCAGACCTCTGCAGGTGGATGCTGATGCTGCCTCCTTGGAGAACCTTCCTGAAGTCCTAAGACTATGTAGATGTCCCTCTGGGGTATGTTATAGCACCAGGTGTCTCCTGCCCGCACCTCACACCAGACTGTAACTTCTGTCTGCTCTTCTCATACCTCCCAGCACCATGACCCCTGAGCTCAAACAGGGGACAGCACCTTGAGAATACATCCTAAAAAAAGCCATATGTAGGTTAAAGTTACTTTCAACTCAATGTCAAATTCAGAAGCGATGAATTTGGGCATCCATCTCCAGGGGTCTGTACAAATATTAGCTAACCGGACCCATGTTTTGCTTGCTCTCCTTCAGACTCTGCTAACCAAACTCATGCTCTCATTCAGACAGTGCTAACCAGACCCATGATTGCTTGCTCTCATTCAGACTCACCCACAGAATGTCAAGAGACTTGATGCTTCCAAGAGCCTGATAATCCACAATTCTAGATCCTTATTTGGTGTTAAAAAGATGTGTTTTTTCTCTGAAATTCCCCCTCTCCATTTAGGCATTCTGTCATACACAGTCATTTATTTATCTTCCTTAGAATTTAGTAATATTGAAAGAGCAATTCCTTTTTCCCCTGTCTTGGCTCCTAAGCTTGTCTCCATCCCAAGTTTGCCACCTTTTTTTTTTTTTTCCCACCTGAAGACAAATGAACATTATCATATAAATCTGTTTGAATGGAACTAATAAAAATGGAAATTACTTAGATGTGGAAGGTCAAAGTGGGTTCTTGAAATAGACACTCCACAGTCTCTGAAATATGTATTTGGACCGTTCGCTCTTCCATTTTCTCTCCATCCTGTACTTCCAAGTTCCTAAATGCTTTGTGTGTTCTGAGTCAGTTACATCTCCTGATGACCTACGTGAAAGGCCAACCTGGTAAAGCCATATAGGATGTTCCCACTGAGTAAAGGCAGGAGGTGCCTCCATGTGAAGTGGCGTCTTTAAGCCTCCGTTTTGCAAACTTTTCATCCTCTCAGCAGTAGAGCTCTTAGAGGTATTACAGCGTGAGTGTTGGCGGCAGAGTTTCCTGAGGGAGTTTACAGGGGAAGACCAGGTAGCTAAAGAGTTTACTGTTAGCTCTGTGCTCTGCTGTTGGGTGAGAAGCGGGTAGGGAAGGAACCCTTCCACCTGACTTATTGGTTTCTATGCACCTGTGAAAACTGCACTGTGGCCTTGACCTGTCCATGCTCTACCCATGGTGAGCAGTAGAAGACAGTAGGGAACACAAAGTTGGAGATACAAGGTTGAGAACAGGTCCCACCCTGAGAATCTGGTTAAGATCTGGGATTATTAGGTTTTAGATGAATACACAGAGAATGAATATTGAATATATTGTAGGCAGAAGGTTCAGGGGAGCCCCTTAGGCTGGCCGTAGGCCAGGGAAGACTCATTTCATTCTCCATGATGAGTGGGATTGAGGGATGGAGTGACAGGTAGATGTCCTGATCCATTGATTGCTGGTTCCAGCAGGACAGTAAGTTAACATGGAGGACCATGAGATGTCTGCATTGGTCTCTGGTAGGTAAAGCTTTCCTTGATACTAGGCAGACCCCTAAGGAATCAACTGAAGCCATGACTCATCATCTCTGACTTTTGATGGCTGCCTTTGACATCTGGGTTTTTTTTTTTCCTTTGGTCCCCAAATTAATATTTCCAACACTCCTCATATGCTACTCCTTTTCTTTCTTTCCCAAGGAAGGTACCCAGCATGCTCCCATGGGTGGGGTATGTAGGTAAATAAAAATAGTGTCTAATCAAAAGGATTTTTTTCCCCTTATGATTTGAGGAGAAAAATAATTCACAACTCTCAACTCATTCAGGGAATTATACCTGATCTTTTCAGCATTGCTTTGAATGTGCTAACCAAGCTCCTGGCTTTTAAAAGTGCAAACCTACAATGTCTTGGTTAAAAAAGTAAACAGACAAATAAATAGAAATATGATTTATCGTTTCGATATTGCAGCCTCCAAAATGCAGGCATTTCACTCCTGGGAATGAATATCTCTGCTTGCCTGCAAGCAGATTGTAAATATTGGAGTTGTGACCAGACATCTTGGCTTTTAATGGCCTGCAACCAACAGAAAATAAACACACAGAGTTATGACAGCCAGCTCAAAGCCAGACACTCTTCAGTGTCCCTGGAAACAGCCAGTATTGCTCTGCAACTAGTGCTAAAAATCTGGAGAATTCAGAATACAGTTCTAACAAAGATGTGGGGCCGGAACATTACGGAGTTCTTTCGTCTTAAATTTATTTTTGGTGTGTCCGATCATGTGTGTGCAGTACATATTTGTGTGTATGGCTGTGTGTGGAGGCCAGAGGATAATTTTAAGTATCATTGGTAAGCAAACATCCACCTTGCTTTTTGAGGTAAGGTCTCTCACTGGCCTTGACCTTCCTGAGTAGAGTAAGCTGCTGGCTGAGGGGTCCCAGAGGTCCTACCATCTCTGCCTTCCAAGCTCTGGGGTTACAAACTTGTGCCACCATGCCCCCCTTTTTCTCCCCCTCGTTTCTCCTCCCCCTTCTCCTTCTTCTCCTCTTCCTTTTCCTCCTTTTCTTCTTTCTCCTCCTCCTCCTTTCTCTAAGCAGGTTCTAGGGAATTAAACTCAGGTCCTTGTGCTCACAATTCAAGCATTTTCCCAACTGAGCCATCTGCAGCACCTCACTGTAAATCCTACACACCCAAATGGCAATCTCAGGGAGCTCAGTATGTCCCTCTATTGCCACTCTCATCTCCATCAATATAGCGTCAACTATGGGTCATCTCCTGAAGATCCCATAGCAGTCACAAGGCTGGAGAGGCAATGACTAAGAGGTTTGCACTATTTCTGATGAAAGATCCCCCCTGAAAATGCCATATCCTCTCCCAGCATTGTAGGACTAATCTGTCAGTGCTTGCACCCCAAACAACACGATCATCCCAGAGAGTTTACCCACTGGAGGAGAAAGCTCAGAAGCATCATGGCAGGGGTTTGGGGTGGAGAAGAATGAAGTACAAACAAGCACAACAAGACCAGACTAGGACACCTTTGCCCCAAGGCTGACATGTGATGAGCAACAGATAGAGCATACAGATAGAGCTGACAAAGCGAAAGCATGCACTACGTGAAGGACCCTTAAAAGATGCCAAACTGCCAGGCACACTCCACGGATCCTCTCTCCTCCCCAGCTCTGGTTCACTACCTCCTTGAAAGTAGTGGATTTTTTTTTCTCCTGTAACATACTCTCTCTGCCACTCTGTCCCAGACCATACCCTTCAGACTCCACTCCTCATCTGTAAACAGCACCCACGTGTAAGCTGGGGTGCAGACTCTGAACCCTGCTCTGGGAAGGCCCAGGCATCACTTGAAGACAGACTCACGCCAAGCTGACCTTATACGGGAGGCCGGAGACTGAGCCCCAAATTGTAGCTCAACTCTTCCATCAGTGCTAATTTGGGGATTAAACAAACCCTTTGATTACCCGTTAGACACTGAATGTCAAGTACGTTTAATGCTTAACCTTCATGGTTTAATGCTTAACTCTCACATTCCATGGGCCACGAACTGAGGCACACTCTCTGGCTCCCCCAGAGATCTGCGCAGGAAGATGCCTGGGGCAGGACTCAGCAGGCAGCTCCCACGTGAGCCCTGCGGACTGCTGGGTGCGTGGGTCATTGCTCTAATGAGTCTCACGGGATCACAGTTGTTACTGTTGTCGTCAGTAGTGGTGTGCACGTGGGTCTGTGTGTGCGTAGGTGTGTTTATGTGTGTGTATGCAAACGTTTGTGTGTGTAGTAGGTAGGTTTATATGTACGTGTGTGTATGCAGGTGTGTGTATGCGTATATGTGTATATACGTGTGTACATGTGTGTATATGTGTGTATCTGTGTGTATGTGTGTGTGTGCCAGTGTGTTCGTGAAGGCGAAAGGACAACCCTTAGGAGGCGGCTCTCCTTTTGTCACAGGTTGTGAAGCTTGCACTCGGGTCAGAAGGCTTGCCTTTACTTGCTGAGTCATCTCACGATGCTCCCCCCCTTCTTTTTTCTTTTTTTTAAACATAAAAAAGTAACAGCTTTAAAATTGTCTTTCATTCATTTTAATACATATATTTGTGTTTTTTTGTTTTGTTTTGTTTTTACCTCATTTCCAAGTCTTCATTCTCCTGTGGTATAAATCTGTACAAGGCAACATAGGTGTTCATCTGTATTGGGTCTTTGGAAGGAGGTCCCTGTCAGAGAAGATAAAGCAAATGAGAGAGGAAAGAAAGAAAACGGACGTGAAAACGTGACTGCCATGAAGGGTCCATGTACATGACTGCCATGAAGGGTCCATGTGCAGTCTCAGGGGTCAAATGTCTGGCTGTTCCTGAGGAGTCTTAGCTTACTTTATTTAATTAATCATTTACCCATCTATTTATTATTTATTTATTTACTATTTATTTGACTCAAGCAGGATAGTTTGCCTTCCTTCCTTCCTTCCTTCCTTCCTTCCTTCCTTTCTCTCTCTCTCTCTTTTTTTCTTTGAGACTGGTCTCACTCTGTAGTCCTGGCTGTCCTGGAACTCACTCTGCAGACCAGGCTAGCCTCATACTCACAGGGATCCTCCTGCCTCTACCTTTAGTGCTGGGATTAAAGGCAGCATGCACCACCATGCCCAGTTCCTTAGCTTACTTTTAATTTTGGAGTCAGACTCTACTACAAGCTTTTTGGAATGGCTTGGACATTGCAGATTATAGTTATTCTTTTTGGGGGCATAATTTTTTCTTTGACGTGGTTCTGAATGAAAATGTCAGAAATGGGAATTTTTCTTCCATTTTCAAGCATGTGTGTGTGTGTGTGTGTGTGTGTGTGTGTTATGCATATGTGGGGCTCACATATGTGCGGCTGCATGTGCACGCCTGTGCATGTGGAGGTGCAAGGCTTACAGTAGGACGCATCCCAACCACCCTTCTACCCTGTTCATTGAAGAAGGGTGTCTCAGCCAAACCCAGGGCTCACAGATTATCTAGTTTTCCTAGATTCCTGCAGATCCCATTTCTATGTCCTGAGGCTGGAATTACAAGTGAGCCCTCGTGCCCTCCTGGCTTCTATGTGCGTGATAAGGGATCTGAATCCTGGTCCTCAGGATTGTGCTGCAAATACTTGAGCCACTGAGCCATCCTCTCCTCTGCCCCAAATGGGAACATTGTCTCTGGGAAAAAAGAGAGACATGTGAACAGCTATAAATAGATCTTGCTTTCCAAAGCAGACCAAAGTTTCGTTTGTTTATTTATTTGTATGTGTGTGTCTAAGTGTGTGCATGCATGTATGTGCCTCCATACATGCAGCGCCTGTGGAGGCCAGGAGAGGGCATCAGATCCTCTGGAGATGGACTTACAGATGGTTGTGAGCCACCTGACAAGGATGCTGGGAACTGAACCTGGGTCTTCTGGAAGGGAGATGTGCTGGCAGTTTTTATGTCATCTTGACACAAACTAGTCACTGGAGGAGAAGGAGCCTCCATTGAGAAAATGCTTAAGATTAGGCAAGCCTGTAGGGCATTTTCTTAATTAGTGGTTGATGTGGGAGGGCCCGACCCATGTGGATGGGCTCCCCCTGGACAGTGGTTCTGGGTTCTGTAAGAAAAAGGCTGAGCACACTATGGAGTTTTATCACAGAAACAGTAATCGTAATCCCTGTTAGAACAGGCGGGAAGTGCTCTCAACCACCGAGCCATCACTCTGACCCCTAAAACTGACTTTTTATCGGTGGTTGAAAGTTGGTATGTACTGCATCAAAGCCCCGTTTGTGTGGTGATCAGTTAATTTGTGGTGAGAAGAAAGCATAGTTTTCCCAGTCCACAAAGGAAAACAATTCAGCCAGTCCTGATGAGACCTGATAGACTTGGGTCAGATGGAAGGGGAGGAGGACCTCCCCTATCATTTGACTGGGGGGAGGGGCATAGGAAAAGAAAAGGGAGGAAGAGTGGGATTGGGAGGGGGTGAGGAAGGGGGCAACAGGTGGGATACAAAGTGAATAAACTGTAATTAAAAAATAAAATTAAAATTAAAAAAGTAATAAGCAAGAAAAAAAGCATAGATTTTTTGGCATTGTGTTGTAGTACCACTATCTGCATAGGCTTTGAAACCTTGCAAATATGAAAATAAAATCTGACAATTTTGATAGCTTACTGGCTGCCTGGCATTTTATTACTTGTATTAATATAACTAGACTTCTCTACAACCTTGTTAGGTAGGCCTTACTATAGTCCTCAATTTATTAGTCTATAAAGGAGTCTTGTAGTGCCATATAAACATTAGCTGTTACCACTAACCAAAAAAACTGTATTGCTATAGATACATTTATATTTTATAATATACAAGCTAAAAGAATATATTACACAGATGAAACTGTAATAATACTTTCGAGTACATTGCATAATATAATAAATATATCCTTTTTATGGGTACAAAATGTAAGACTTGCACACAAGTATATTGCAGCCTTTTGAACTCAAGATTTACCTTGCTGTTAATTTTTATATCTATCTATTTGCACGTGTAGCATTTGTGCTCCAAAGTATACACGTGGAGGTCAGAGGACAGCCTGGAGAACTAGTTCTCTCCTTTCACGGTGCAGGTTTCAGGGACTGAACTCAGGTCAACAGACTTGGCAGCAAACCCCTTCCCCCCACTGAGCCATCTTACAGGCCCATCATTCCACTATCATTTAAAGCTCAGAGACAACATTGCTTGAATTTAAAGCTCAAGGACAGCATTGCTTGAGTCTATTGTAATTATATATGTGTATATGACATAACAACATATGCTTGTATAGCATCCAGTGTAGTCATAATATGATGTGGTAATTAACACATTCTAGAGCATGCCTTCACTCGCAGTAACATATGATGGAAGATTGTGCACGTCATTAATAAGTGTTTATCCTCTTCACCTTTTATACACTGTGCTTTTTCCAGCCTGTATTATTTATTATGCTTCACTGGTACTTATTGTCAAATGTGTTACCTTTTTCTTCAAATGATTTTAAGAGATAATTTGACACACACTATGACACCATCATCCCCGGCAAGGGGTTTTGTGATCCACTAGGGTGATGACTGACAGTTTAATCCATGAAGTCTCACCTGATCTGTATCCTGTGATGTCTACATACCTGGTGGTTTATGGTCTTAACTTGGTCTCTGAAGTCATCGGTACCATTTTCTGGATATGTAAACACTGGGGGAGGAAAGAGAGCACAGGCATTTTTGTGTCTTGTAGCCATGTTTGGGGACATGGATGAAGGGGGATGTTTTGATTGAACCAGAGCTTATCATTGGCTACTTCCTGCCCATCCCTTCCATTATCTCCCCACCTTCTTTCTTCTTTCGGAGATGTTTTCCCTGCCTTCTTTTGTAGCAACCTGATAACTCCACTTGGCACCCCACAGTTCATGCATACTCCATGATACATTCCCTCAATCACTGGCCAACTGTGAGTTTGAAACTCAGTCTCTTTTAGCTATGTTCCATCAGAAGCACAGGTGAGTTGACTGTGTGGAATCACTTGAGCAGATAATTCCATTCCCTTTGAATATTTATCTTTTCTAAACACCAGAATTTTTAGATTCAGTGTCATGATGCCAGATTCTTAATGCTGTCTACCTTCTGTTTTGAAGATTAAAGCATTATCTTTAAAGTCTAGAACACCCCCCCCCCCTGATTGCTTACGTCCAATGTACCAAGGCCATGGCCCTGATTTCTTTTTTTTGAGTTCATTTTTGGAGTGTGTATTTCTCTTCTGTCTGTGTGGAAGGCATCACCTTGAAGCATTGGGTTTGGTAATGAAACCTCTTCAGAGGGGCAGTTCTCACTGTCCAGATGCACACTTGCCTAGGTTCTTCACAGAAACTCAGTGAGCTTGAACTGCCAGATGTGGTCCAGTGACCATGGCCAGCTTGTCATTCTCACCAGATAGATCTTCTTTAGAGTAAAATTTATGCAGTAAGGTTTTGGTCTGTAAATTAATCTCCCACTGTTACGGCTTGGCATTTTAGAGTAACATATTTATTATTCATTATTTTCTTTCCCTTTACAATATCAAGAAGATATCAGTACAGAATGGTACACCCCACAGGAATACATATAACTTGGTTTATTTGTGTCCTGATTCTCCCTATTGTTCATTCATTCAGCTTAGTTTTGTAAAAATTACACTGTGTGTGTGTGTGTGTGTGTGTGTGTGTGTGTGTACATTACACACCGTGTGTGCCTTTGGAGGTCAAAGGGCTACTAGTGGGATCAGTTCCCTCTTTCCACCAGGGCCGAGGGACTGAACTCAGGTCGTCAGACTTGGAGGCAAGCTCCTTTATTCATTATCCACCTCACCGGAATCTCTACTGTTAATAAAATAGAGTGAGGAGCTTCTATGACAAAAAATACATTCAACGCAAGAGCCCCCACGGAAGTACTGAGGCATCTTAACTGTCCAGTGTGTTCAGTTCAGAATTCCAGAGTTTACCGTTACGTTTCTTTTGCACAGATACCCAAGGTCCCCGTGTGCTCCCAGAGGTCCAGCACTGAGCTGTGAGAGGTCTCTTCCCACAGAGTTTGCCTGAAGCATCTGGACACTTAACTCAATGTTTACCTGCTGAACAACACCCCTTTCTGGTATCACATCATCTAAAATCCTGGTGCAAACCTTTGATTCTGTAAGTATAAAACTATATTCTTCCCCCAAAGAACATTAAATGTTTGAATGAAAGCAATCAAAAGAGGTTCTAAAGAAGGGGTTCCTATCAGGTTACTCTACAATGTCCCATTTGGGCTGATTGCACAGTTTTAAAATTTCACATTATTTCAGCCTGTTATGGAATATCTCCCTGAGCTTCTAGTTCAAAATGTGTATCGTTCCTGTGAATCTGTTGAGGAAATTTTTCAAAGTGACTTTAAATTTGTCTTCAGATATATAATCACAAGCAGGGTGTAACCAGGAACAGCAGTTCTAAAACTTATTTCCCCAAAAAGCCATTTCTTCTTTTCCTAAGATTTTGTTTTCAGTTATGTAATTGTGCATGTGTGAGTGTGCACTGCCTACAGAGGCCAGAAGAAAGTATCAGGTCTCCTGATCTGGTATTACAGGCGGTTGTGATCCACCCCACAAGGGCTGTCGGTGACCAAATCTGGGTGGGCGCCGGGAGCTGAACTCAGGCCCTCTACAAGAACAGAATGTGCCCACCCCAAACTGGTTCTAAAACAGTGATTTGCAGCAAAAAAGGAGAAAAGTAAGGTGGTTGTCTGAATACTTCATAACCGAGTATTTCACACAACTGTATACCAGGCACAACTGTATACCAGGCACATGTATGCTGCACAACCAGGTATACTACAGAATAGTACACACACTACACAACCACACATATTACCTGACTGTGTACTGCACAGCTGTTAGTTTTGCTATTTTAAAGTGTGTGTGTGTGTGAAAAATAATTCCGTTGTTTATCTCATGACAAATTTTCAAAAACGGTGTTCAGTGTGCAGGGAAGTTGTGCTGTTAGTTGCTGAGAAACAAAATGAATCTTCATTTTGGCCACATCCTGAAGGACTCCCTTTTTGTTTGTTTGTTTGTTTGTTTGTTTTCTGTTTTTCACTTTTTTGTCTTTTTTACCCACGTTGCCTCTTTGTTTCCTGAGCTGATGGCTTTGGTCTTCTTTTGCATGATGCTAGGCCAGTTTACATTACTGAATTATCTGACATGATCCCAGATTTGAGTTCTTGGGCTAATTCCAAGGCAGTTATCAGGCAGTGCCCTTTAGTGGGACGTCACTGGGTTCTGCTCATGAGAATTTTACTTCAGACGTGTGCATCCGTATTCAACAGAGAGCAGCCAGCGATTTCCCCTTCTCTGGCCTTGTTTGGTTTTGAAGTCAGTATTATAATGACCTCGTAAACCAAGTTAGAGAATGTGGCCGCCCTTCTTCCTTGCTGTGCTTTCGTTTCTTGGAGAGAGCTTATGTAACGTGGAAATTTTCTATTCCTTAAATGTTTGGTAGAATTTACCTATGAAGTTGTCCAGCCTTGGTATTTTTGCCATGCAAAAATTTAAGTGTTGATTTGGTTTCGGTAAAGATTAGAAACCGCTCAGAATTTCTGCTTCCTTCCCTCTGTGGTCGGGCTGAAGTCACTCTGGTGTTTTTGGTATCAGCTCATTTAGAAAAGGTTTTCAAGCTTTTCAGTGAGAATTTGGTCATGACAGCCTTTTCTTCTTGGTGTGTTTTATTCCCCTTTTGGTTATGGTGTCTTGATCCTCTGTTCTCTTCCATCTTAAATATTGTTAGAGCTTATAAATTTTATTCTACTTACTATCCACTCAGGATTTATTGCCTTGTCTTTCCAAGTTAATGATGTCTGTTCTTATCTTTATTATTACCATTTCCAGGCCTTTTATGGATGAGAGTATCATATTTTGTTTTCTGACTTTTTATTAATATGTTCATGTGTGCATGCATGCGTGTGTGCGTGTGTGTGTGTGTGTGTGTGTGTGTGTCTGTGTGTGCATGCATACAGAGTCCGGAGAATAACTTAGGGTTTCAGTCCTAAAGATTGCTTTCTCTTTCATTCACTGACTCCATGTCCTCACTTTTAATATTCATTTTTTTTCTAGCTTTTGTAGTTTGGAAAGTTTGCTCTATTTTATTATTTATTGTGTAGTTGTCTTGGATTTTTAATGAAGCAAATTTTAATAAGCTCTAAAGTGAAATATTTTTAAGCTTTCCTCAAACAACATGAGGATCTCTGAATTCTCATTGTCTATTTATAGATCGACACTTTTAGATATTTTATTAACAGCTTTTAAAAGCACTATTGGTTTCTTTCTTTCTTTCTTTTTTTTAGGTAGCCAATGCTTGTCTGCACTTAACTATGCATTTGTCCCCTTTTTCTCTTTTATTCATCATTATTGCATGTGTACATGCTATGTGAAGGTAGCATGTATGTGGAGGTCAGAGGACAATTTTAGGGGCCAGTTTTCTCCACAGTGGGGTCCGGAGACAGTGACAGGCTTGAATGGCAAGTGCTTCTACTCAGAAATCCATGTCACTGGCCCTACGCTCTCTTTGCTTTTCATTTCTTCTTGTCTCAGGGTGTTTGTGTGTTTGTTTTATTTATGATTCCAGGTTAAGAGTCCTTCCCTCCTTCCTTCTTTCCTTCCTCCCTTTCTCCCTCCCTCTCTTCCTCCCTCCTTCTTCCCTCCCTCTCTCCCTCCCTCCTTCCTTCCTCCCACCCTTCTAAAGGTGCCAATTTACTGTTATTTAGCTTCAGTTGTAATCTGTTAAAAGCTCTTTGTATAATTTCCATTTCTCTGTGTATGATCTGCCTTTCGGCCCACATCAGTACTTGGCTGTCTTTGAAGTCTTGTCTCACAGAGATGCCTAGGTGTGGCTCTGAGGAATGTGCCTTCAATCAGTTCTGTAAGTTCTCAGCCAGGATGTTCATGCACTTCTAACTGTACACACACACACACACACACACACACACACACACACACACACACACA